TTTTGGACGTCTGAAGATGACTCAATCCTTGGAGTCGAAACTAGTTGCGTTTTTCACAAATTTGCGTTTTTATCATTTTTATAACATCATAAGCGGCTAAGTACTTCTAATTTATTTATTGTATTTCAATTATTTCTATGTATATACACAGTTAAAGTTATTTAAATGTTTTAACCGCTTTATTTTATTTTATTTACTATCTGACTCTTATTGTCCTTTCTTTGTTAGATTATTATTTTATATAAAGAGTCCTTTATTTTTCATTTTATTTAAATCGTTTATATTATTTATAAAAGAATAAAATATTACAATAAAGTAATTTTTTATGTCAAAGATTACGATAGTATTAAACATTTAATAATTTTTTATGTATTTTTTTATTCCATGCTATTTTCTTAATTTTTTAGTGAAATACCGCTAAACGAACAAGTGGACAGATATTTGAAATACTTAATTATGCGATTTTTCTATTATCAATTCATTTTTTATAATTCTTTACCTGATGATGAATTTATCATGTCTATTCTATATATCTTTCTTTCTCTTTCATACGAATTAAATTAAAAAAAATCTTATTTAACGTTTAATAATAATTTAGTAATTCACAGAAAAGTATAAAGTTATTAGAGAATCACGTTGTTGGGCTCAGACTTTGAGAATTTCGTCTGAAATGTGTGCTGGAAACATTTCAGTTTCCCTACAAAACGATTTCAGAGATCGCATCAACACCTGTGATCCTCCCGTGTAGCGCATGTCCTACTGTAACTCCATTATTCGTTAAAGAACCTCTTCGAACAATTGACTTCGCTCTTCACAATGCTTTTCGCTTGAGTTGCCTCAGCTCGTTTCCGTTTATAGCAGCCATATTCGAAAACGAAGATATAATCATAATTTCCACTTTCTTCAAGAATAATATCGACTGTATAATCTTCTTTAGAATGTATTTATACAATAATTTATAAATATGTACTAAATGTTCATTTTTACATACAAAGAAATAAGAAATTATTGCGTATTACGATGGTGCTCGACGACCGACGTTCTCTTCTCGGCATAGGAAGATGAACGAGCCACAATTTACGGGGCCATGATGTTACGTTTCGCACCGAAATGCCCGCAGCTTATTGGCCATTGTACGCAAAGAGATACGTAAAACGATAAGGAGATCTTATACAGAGAACTGACAACGCGTCTTGCAAGGCGATGAGGACGCCGAGTGAGATTAGGAGGGACGGGGCGCCCGACGTACTGCTGAGCTAGTGGAAAATAGCGTGACGCCTAGCAGCCGGGCTTCTTGTCTGGCTTTATTTCAACCGACGACTCCACCCCCGGTATCAACTAGATGGGGATCGAATCGGAGAGCCGTGAAATAACAGTCCTGCGACGCGAAAACGTTTTTTTATAAATCTACATCAACCAACAATTTTCTCTGCTACAACAAATAGAATATTTTTGCGAGATTATATCGAATATGGTGCCACAGGTTAAGGAAAAATATATGAAAAGATTAGTCTCTTTGTATAAAAAATTATTTAAACCCTCTGAAGCTTTTTTACATCACACAATTTCTAGGCATTATCTCGATAAAAAATCTACTTAAAACAACTTTAGAACTTAGATTATTTTGTATGTAAGATCTGCAATAGTTTTCAATGCACATACAAAGTATATGCGCGTTCTAAGAAAAGAAGTCTTTAGCGAATCCGTTGTTTGCACAAATAAATGAATAAATGAAAAAGGGAACCGTGTAATACGATACTTGTTTATAGTTCTAATCGTCGACAGGATTTTAAAGTCATTCGACACGCTACATTTTAAGAACCTGAGTTGAAGGGGCAATAATATGGATAATTAAAGATTTGCGTGTAAAATACCAACAGTTCATCGGATCCACTACGGCACGCATGTTCATGAATTCAAGAAGAGTATGCCTGGATTGCATCGCGTGCACATGCTACTATATATACAAATATCAATACGACTACGCCGTGTATGTGTGTGTGTGTGTGTGTGTACGCGCGCGCGTGTAACGTTTTCATTAAAACTTACTACTGCTTATTAGTAACTATGCTGTAAATAGTACGCAAGATGTTACCACCAACAGAAACAACCAGAAAAGAAAATAAAAGGAAAAGAAGAAAAAGAGTAATAGATAAGTAAAAGAAGGTAAAAAGACAGTCAGAGGCAGAAAAAGGCGAAAATAAGCGGAAACTATGACATCCAAGATGATATATTCTTGTTTTCTGACAATGAGAATAAAGATGCGAATGAAAAATTCAAACGTAAAATTAGACAATGCTATGACACATTTTTGTGAAGATATAAATTTCAAATTGTCTTTTTACATTTTAATCCCTACAAATCTTGCATACATTATAATGTGTATCAAATTTGTCAATATTATATTCATTAAAATTATTTAATATTATTATCTAAGATATCATTTATAAGATCTGATGTACATAATAATGTGTATGTTGGAAAATTTGTTAGTCAGAATTAATTGAAAAAAAATTAATTGTTTAGTATGAATTATCAAAATACACATGAATTGAATTTCAAAAAAAGTGTTTAATATGGTTCCAACGAAATTATTAAATTGTTAAATTCATTTAAATTAAACTAGTGAAGGTATATAATATACATGTATATAGTATATGTATTAATTATAATATAAAATACATATATAGCATATGTTACTTATATACATATATGTATCTTTATCGATTTTATATATTACTTTATACATTAATATTTTTATAGGTAGATACTATATTTCTGTAGAAATTAATACTAAAAAAGGTACGTTTAATAAAATATAAAACCATTATCATTAATCTAATATTAAATTACATTGCATAATGTGATAGCCAAATTGTAAATTTGGTAGAAAATCTATCTAAAGTGTAATCTGGAGTTGACAAGAAGTATTTAGTCCCAGAGTATAATCGACGCGAAAATGTATCGCTTACAAACTTCCCACGGCACTTCCTATCGCAACGTGCATCATAAATGTCAATTAGCGCCACAATACCTCGCAAACGTGAGAACAACGCCAATTTACTCGCTTTCATACACCACACGTCATTATCTCCACAGTTCTGCGTTAGAGCGTTTTCAGATTCTCCTAATTATAAGGTAGGTAACTACCGAATATTTTATTATTATTTTATAGAAAGAATTTATTTTACTAATGCGTGTGTAATAATATTTCAATCATAATAGTAGAAATACTCTAATATAAATATATATAATGTTTTGTGTATTTAACAATGATATCAGAAAACTTTTGCCTCTATAATTCTCGAAAATCAAAATACAAACGATAAACAGTAAAAAAAATTCTGTTCTTTCGTGACACACGATGCAAAACCGCTAACGATCGCTCCTCTCCATTTTGTGGCTAATACCACTCAGCTTTCACATCGCATCATGTTTCTGTCGCATATCTGTCGTTATCGATGACAATTTAACAGAATTATTACCAATGAATGATCCATTATATACCAAGAAATAGCATTATTATTTCGAGCAGATATTTCATATCGTGACATTTAAGTTATTAAAATAATAAATTCGATTCTAACACATTGAATTTATAAATATTAAAAATTATTGATCACATTGTATAATAATATAATTGTTTTTGAAAAATTTATATTGTATATAATATATTTATATGGTATTAATTTATTTTTCATGTGTGAATATGAAAGATTTTATTTATTTCTCGTTCAAATATTACTATTTCAGTTTACTGATATAACTTTACAGAACACTGCTTACTATATGAATAGAGCAATCCATGTATTTACATGATGCAGATCGAGTTTCTGCGCGATGAATAGAACTGCAATGCTGCAAATCTTAGATGCACAACACACACTCACATATACAAATATTCTCATCTTCATTTCCGTCTATTCAAACACTATATTCCGTTGGATTTTGCCAATGATAATAATTATATTTATTTGAAATATTTTATGTATATCGTATATATTTATTTAATCTTTTCGATTCTGATTATATTTTCTATAATCATAAAAAATTGAATTATACCGCGTCATATTACAAAATGGTTTAGCAACAATATTATTAATTAATTTTTTTTCAATATATTATTATTAAAAAATTTTATTTGAAAATTTTACTGAAAGAAAATAAATAGTTTATCTAATAATTATTTAATAATTGCCCCAAACGATCAAGTTGTCACGGAGATATCTCTGTGCAAAAAGAATGTCTATTTACAAAATTTCATTTGTAGTTACAAATTTAACCGAAAAACATTTAAAAATTGCTCTCGTATTGCTCAATTATTATATCCTTTTTTTTTAATTATTTGATAGTTACAAAGATCTTTGTTTGTATTTTTATTTATGGCAAATAAACAATTTATAAAACCATTTTGAAAGCATGCAAGGACATTTTTACGTATTATTTTTATTACATGTAAATATTTACGTATAATAATTTGCAGTGTAAAATTTAAAAAATGTTTTTCTATATATCCACCTAAAATATGTGAAGAAAGTTATTACAATTCTGCAAACTCTTATTTTATTTGTAATGATTTGTATCAACGAATTAACGCCATGTAAGTCAATGATATTGTATGTTAGAGAGCTAGAAACTTGTAAATACATATTAAATACATGCGTAAAGTTTTTACAACTATTATAAAAGACTATTATGTAAAAACTAATAGACACACATATATATGTATACATATACACATACAAACAAATATGAAAATATAAACTGCAATAATATTTTATTTCATAATTCATAATACCCGACCATATGCCATATGGCTATAATGAGAACGAAAGGGTTAATGAACGTACATTCATTATAAGAATCGATTATATGAGAAGATAACGTGTATGCATGTGTGTATGTGCGATACACTATATTATATACCACCATAATTTTTTCATTCACAAATAAACAATCAACGCGTTATTAATCCGAACGTTTTGCTCATTTTGTTTCAGAACTCCGAAATATCGTTGTTTGAGACGAATATTCGTTTCATGGGAAGTCTGCTCGCCTGTTATGCTCTCACGGGAGACGTGATGTTCCGGGATAAGGCGGCGCAGCTTGGTGAACGGATGCTACCTGCCTTCCAGACGGAAACCGGAATTCCTCATTCCCTCATCAACCTTCATACCGGGGTAAGTGCGGCTTTTCGTTGCCATAACTCGCTAGTGCTCGCATCAACGCAGGTTCGATGTACTTTGATATTACATTAATTTTCTTTCTTGCGCCAAAAAAAAAGAACCTACTCATTTACTACACTGAGATAAAAGAGTAAAATAAGAAATCACGGATACGAAATATCATAAATTTATACAGATTGCATCAAAATCACATATACATTTTAATAGAGCTAAAATCACGTCTAGGGGTCAAAATATGAATGAAAAACTTCTTGAGGTAGCTTTTTTATTATCAAGTTTAATATTGAAAGTTGAAAGTTACGACAGGAAATAACGATTAAACTTCCAGTAAAGAAAGATTCACAAGTTGTGTATAAAGAGATCATTTAAATATATATATCCAAATAACGTAACAGATTACTTTAGAGATCTTTCCATATCAATTGCTGATTATTGGAGATATGTTAATTTAAGTTTTTTGTAAAAATTATTTTATTTAATTTTAATACTTTTTTAAATTAAATATATTCTCTCTCTCTCTCTCTCTCTCTCTCTCTCTCTCTCTCTCTCTCTCTCTCTCTCTCGATACATTTGTAATTTATAACGAACAAATAACCTTACTAAGTTATTATAGTATTATTATCAAATCTTGCTATTATATTTTTTCCTCAGGTTTTGTTATATTGCTTAATAAAAATTTACATATAATATATAATTTTTTAAATAATCAAAAAATTGTAAAAAAAATTAAAAATTTGCTGTAGTTCTCAGCAAACGATCCATTGATCTGTTAAGAAATGAAACACGCGGTATAAATATAAAATACAGTTACACACAGCTCACACTTACATACTTATTACAAAAAGCTACTCCAAGGCGTGGTGTTTCCGTTCTTGCACGCTTCTTGTTAAGTATCGTATGTAGGCAATGATGTTACGCTTTAATTGAAACGATTCCATCAAGTCACGTCTGTCGAAATAACGGTGCGCGATTAATATGCAAATTCTTAATTGGATGGATAATGAGACTGCAGAAGGCGTATACGGCCTTTGGCTCTATATGATAGACGATATATTCGTTCATATATATTATTTTTTCTTTTTTCATATATTCATTTATATCGCTTATTTGGTGATGAAATAACGATAAGTGATTATCTATAATTTAAATAAAGAGAAAGACTTTTCATAAAAGAACGAGCGGTTCATTTTAATTAAAAAGAAATTATTATTACATCTTTAGTGTTATCAAAATTTAAACTAAAATCAATTTTATCAATATATGTTATATGTTTAATAATTAAACCATGTACCATTATTTTATTAAATTTAATAATAAAACTATGAATTAAGCTGTAATTGATAATAAAGTGCTTTTAAAATGTGTAGAACAATAATAACTACTTATCTGATATAATTAACTTAATTTTGATTACTGGAAGGTTGACACCCCCAGACCCAGGGCCTTTTGGGCTTCTCTGTTTAAATCTGCCATTAATTGCATGTATATATGCCGATTGATTGTATCCGTTTGACTTCATAATTCGTATTAATGTTTTCGATTATTAATTTCTGCGCCATAATTGTCTATTAATTTGAATGGCACAGAAGAAAAGAGAAACGAAAAATGTTTGTCGGTTCAAAAAGTTTCATATATTTTATTGTTCTATGTGATTTTTTTACTCTATGCAGCTTTACTCTATCAATTCAAATATCTAAGCAGCATATATAGAACAATAAAAATTACAAAAATTTATCTTTTTTACACATATGGTATATCAATTATACAATATTTTTTAACAAATTTAACAACTCGCTATGATGTATTTGCAGCAACGAGATAATTCCGTTCTCTTATTCCCTTTAACAACAAAAGACACATGCAAGCGTTACATCGCACGCATACTCGTCTATCTTACCACTATGGAATTACAGTGGGCAGATTAATTGGCTAGATTAAATTATAAAGCGATTATGGTTCTCCCAACCGAACTTCATCTACCTAAATCCTCGTTACAATATTTGAACGATATCCGATGAACAGATTGTCTATTCGTTCTTTTTTTTTTTTTATTTTCGACGTTTCAACAATGGCTTTTGATTAGTTAAAACCGCATCAGATTTCATTCTACAAAATTTTCATATTATTCTTAATATCCTAATCCTTTTCATAAAGAATTAGCATATTTTACCTGCTCTCATGGATTATATTGTTTGTACGAACTATTTCCTTTTCATAAATTAAAAAAATGGATATTCAAGTAAATTCTCTTATAAAATTTAAATTAAAACCATATTCTAAATTTTTTTAATACTAGAGATCCTATAACAGAGGCCACAAACTTTTGATTGGTCTGTCAGAGTGGTCAACTCCTGCTGAAATTCAAACTTCGATAACTTTAATAGGGGAGAAAAGAAAAAAATATATGGTAAAAACTGATGATAAAGACGTGAATTATTTGTTGGCATTCAATTTTTTAAATTAATATTCTGTATTTTCATAAAACTCGTCGTTTAGGGAATTTTTTCTCACAATATAACCTTTACTTAAAGAATTATTGCAATATGAAGCAGCGCATCCATCCGTTTTTGCTATAAGTAAATTGAATTAGTATATTTTTTATAGTATATACTTAATATTATAAATATAACAATTTTTTAGATAATACTATTATATCTTACAACACTACCTTCAAATTGCGAGTTACGGTGTAACATATATAAATAATTGAAAACGAAATTGATATAAATCAGTATTTCTATTTTATATCTTTCTTTCTTTTTTATTATGAAGAAAAATTTTTATATTACTCTCTTACTGTTTAAATATTATAATTTTTTAAAATATTGTTATACTTAATCTATCCGTTTATCACGTTGAACATTTTATATCTTGCGATGTGTTTTAGCTGGAAACTTGCGCTTATTTTTCAGGCCAGCAAGAATTACGGTTGGGCAAGCAGCGGTTGCAGTATTTTATCCGAAATCGGGACAATGCATCTTGAGTTTACCTACTTGAGCGATATAACGAATAATCCAGTGTTCAAGAGCAAAGTTGAAAACGTAAGGAAGGTCTTGAAGAGTCTAGACAAACCAAAGGGTCTATATCCGAATTATATCCATCCAAGAACAGGAAAATGGGGTCAACGTAAGTATCTCAATAATCTGCGTTGTACTTATTTTCTATATTTTTTTTATTAATTTTCGCAAATATAGCATATTTAAGCGCGCACAAAGATAATTGTCTAAAAAGCTTAGAAAATTATTTAAAAATCGTTCAATGTAAAGGAATGTATTTTGAAAATGTAGAATATTATACGTGCCTCTGTCATTCCTGCATATATATTTGTTCCTGCATCATAAAATTAATTGCTTTACCCTTACTACAATTATTTTCAATATACAATTATTTTTAATTATACAATTGTAGACATGAACGACACAGCAACATTCACATTCATATTTGCATTTAAATTGTGATTTTTCAAAATCTCTGAATGTCTTCAAGCAGACGATATCAAATCGATATAAATATATTTAAGTATTAACTTATTACTATATAATAACGTTTGATAAATCTTTGAACGCGTGTGTTTTGCGGTGAAACATATTTTTAATCTGATTGCTACCAATTGTACACCGTGAAAATAGTTTTCGCATAGCCGTGAAATCGGCGGAGTGTAAAATCCGCACGTAACTTCGATCGTCCCGCTTTTTTCACTATTTCCTATTGCAAGCGTCGGCTCATATTGCTTCGCGAAAAGATGCTTCGCCGCGGTGGCGTCGGCACCGTCTTCACCATAGCCGATCTTGAATATCGCATTTATCATCCTCTGCCTCGGATCCTAAATCCCCTGCGCCTGTGTACCTTCTTACTGCACGTATGACGAGATCCTTGGGGATATATATCATCCAAACCGTTCGGTATCTAGCCTTATCGCACATCCTTTCCACATTTTTCACGATTTCTCTATGGTGGACACTCGTATTATAAGTACACGTTGCTCAGATGACACATTGATTTTTCGATCAAGACACATTTAAACAAATAGTATATGACAAACTAAAAAAATTTTACATAATTAATGCGACAAATATTTGATAATAACTATTTTATTATTTGATGCAACTTTGCTGATAAAATCTTATTGTCACATCAATATACAATTTATTTGGTGAACCTTTATATCTCTATGAACGAAAACGTCATCGATCTTGTTTGTTCGAGTACTTTTTTGGCGTGTAACAATAAAAATCAATATACTACTGACTTTTTTTTTTAATAAAAAGATGTAACGTATTATGTCTTTGTGGATAAAAATCAGTATTTAAAATATATTATAGCTTGTCAACTTTAAATTATAACTAACATTCGTTTAACGAAAGCTTAATCTCATATGGCTCTGATCTTCATGCATTTTCTCGAGATAATGTTCTTACGCTATATCCGAGGAAGTAGTGAACAAAAAGATAAAGCGAAACTATACGTCCTTTCATCGCAGATCTCACATAAAGTGGAACCATGCTTTTAGTTAGCCCAAGGCACCTAGGAATTAACCCAGTAGAAATCAAGAAATGTGTGCCCTTTGTTTCGCCTCCCTCAAACGTGATCGAAGTAGACCTGTAACGTGGAGAACAAACTCCTCTTTTTCCGGGAAAAGATTCTTCCACGTTCCTTTATCTCGTAGCGATTACCGTTGCTATCTGTTTTAAAGCGGTATCTCTTTTAGAGCAGTCGAACAGCCGTTTTATTTTGCAAAACGAGTCGCCCGCAAGTCTTTAATTTCGCTTTAACATGGAAAGAATAAAAAATAAGAGTAAAAATGATACACTAGGAATTTTTGAATTGAGAAGAAAGCAAATCTTATTATTTATATTCTAAAATTTTCTTTAATGTAACGTATGACGAAGTGTGCTCATTTTAAATCTTTTAATTTTTACTTAAAGGAATAATCATAATTGTACTTAAAAATCTAAAATCGAATTTACTGATTTTTATGAATATTATTATTAATATTAAACATTATAGATAAAGGTCTCTTTATTAAATATATCGATGCTGACAAATTATTATATAGATTACATAAATTTTTATTTAATAATAAATTATCAATTAATTTTAACAATATTTTAAAAGATATATGTACAGTTTTCCCTTTAATCTGAAGAGAATATAATAAGATAATATTATAATCCCAGATTCTCTCTCTCTCTCTCCTTCCCCCCCGTACTTTTCTTTTATTCCTTTATTCTCTTATTCTTTAATCAAATCCAAGTCCTTTTTATCAATTTAGAAAGTTTTTTATTCTTTAATCTTTCATAATACAAAAGCTATTAGCTGACATATTTATCTAGAAATTATATCAGAAATAAAATTTGTCAAAGAATTTGTATATAAAAAAAGAAAACAGCGGGCCTTGCTTAGTAATTTTACAGAGAATTATGTCATGAGCTCTTCTGGAATTTACATAAATTTACTTACGACAGAAATTTTTTTATGAAAATTGCAGATCATATGTCGCTCGGTGGGCTCGGTGACAGTTTCTATGAGTACCTACTGAAAGCTTGGATCCAGTCAGGCAAGGAAGACGTCGAGGCACGTGAAATGTACGACGACGCTATAGCTGCTATAACTCAGCATATGATCAAAACATCCCCTGGCAAACTGGTCTACGTGTCGGATTTAAAATACGACAGACTTGAGCATAAAATGGGTCACTTGGCTTGCTTCGCCGGTGAGTTTTAATATGCATTAATGTAATTACCGATTACCATGATTTTTATAGCGTAGTCAATTTTGCGCAATGATACTCGAGTACAAAATGATGCTACAAAATGATCCATTTACAAACACTCCATTAAGTAATTATCGTTCAAATTTATGATATTAATATTATAAAGTTATTTATTTACTCAATTAAAGCTTTATTATTATAAAATAGAATTACTTTATGTCTCTTTATATCAATACATGAAAAGCGATTAATTTAACAAAAAGAATCTTGTCAATAAGGTTGTTGTTGCATGTTTTGTAGGCGGTATGTTTGCTCTGGGCGCTAAAACTCTAGAAAACGAATTGTCTGATAAATACATGAACATTGCTGCTGGATTGACCAACACGTGTCATGAATCTTATGACAGAAGTGCTACGAAACTCGGCCCCGAAGCTTTCCACTTTATCGAAGGCAACGAGGCCAGAAGTTTAAAGAATGGCGAAAAATATTACATTTTACGACCTGAGGTAAGTCGTCCGTGCTCTCAACTTAACGTAAAATTAGCGCGAATTGTTCAAATTTTATTATCACAGTTACTTTTCCTCCGAAAGAGAAAGAAAGAGAAGGATTCATACTAAAACATTATTTTATAAATTATGTTAAATCGCGAAAAAATATATTATACGGATGGATTTAACTTTATTGATGTAATTAAATATAATATATATACTTTCTCTTTTTTATTATTAAATAGAAAATTTAGTCATTTTAATTATTAAGTTTGTAATTTTATGACAAAAAATCATAAATTGCATAAAAAAGTATTTTTATTATTTTATGCAAGATTATTTTTTATAAGAAAACCGATATAACTTACTGAATAGTAAAACAAGATATACTTCTTCACAGACCTTCGAATCCTACTTCGTAATGTGGCGGTTAACAAAAGATCCAAAATATCGCGAATGGGGTTGGGAGGCGGTTCAAGCATTGGAAAAACATTGTCGGGTTCCCGGAGGATTCACGGGACTTAACAATGTTTACCTAGTCGACTCGGCGAAAGACGACGTCCAACAAAGTTACTTCTTTGCTGAGACATTGAAGGTAAAGAGAAACGAAACATCGCTTCGATTCGGTTTACGCTACTTCTCGGAAAGATTGACTTAAATGGTTAATATTTAGACCTTTGCAACATTGCAATTTATCACGTTTGAGTTTTCTACATAATTATTTTGACAAAATTATTTCCTCCGACAAAATTATTTTTAGATCTTTTTAGTACATACAGAATTATTTTTGCATCTACCTAAATTTTTAAATACTTTAGTCAAATTATTTTTTTCCTTATAATTATATGTATAATTACCATTTATTTTTTATTTAATCTATGTAAATATTTTTAACATAATATTTTTTTAATCAGGTTTATAATATATAATATTTAATAATATTTATAATATTTTTTAATTAGAGCATTTATAGAGGCAAAATAAAGTGGAGATAATATATCGGTAAAGAAACTTTCCAATGAAACGTATTTTTTTATCAATACATGAAATATAGAAAAAGGAGAGGAGAATTTAATAAAAATATATGTAGTTATAAAAGTATAATAATAGATATGAAAATATAAAATGTAAAAATATTTTATCTTTTTCCAGTATCTTTATTTGCTCTTCAGCGACGACGATCTCATAAGTCTGGACGACTGGGTATTCAACTCCGAGGCTCATGTGCTTCCTATCAAGGGCAATCCTCTGTATCGCCCAGCTCCTTCTTTATAAGCCAGACAAATTCACGATATATTGAACGATACCGACAATTCTCGTTTGGCAGTGATGGAACCGATAAATATATATACATATGTATATATACATAATATATATAATAATACGACGATACACAGTGGATCAAAATTATACAGAAGACTGAAGAAATTTATTTTGAACAAAGCGCTTTTTCAGCCAATTTTTTTTACGTAATATATTATTACAATATAATTTTTTACATAATATTGATTACAAAAAAATTCTATGGCGACAAAAACAAATATCATATTGCATTTGTTATATTTTTTTATTTTTTTCCATTTATTATCATAAAAATGTTCATATAATGAAAGATAATAATAATTGACTCGTATGATTTAAAAATCGAGGAAAATGTAAAGTGTATATAAATTTCACACAATATAATAAACATTAACATCTTGTTTTCAAGACTCGATTAGGCTTTACACTTTACACTTTCCTCGATTTTTAAAAATGTTCACTTTACGATATAAAAGATGTTTAATTCTAAACATCAATACGCGATTTTCTATTTTGACCCATTGTGTAATATAATAAAATCGCAAATTAATGAAGAAGATAAAGAAAAATTAGTCTGCCCTTCGATCACGTTTAAATTGAATCGATACATTTTAAATTAAAATAATTATTTTAGGTAAACGAAAGAGAGAAAAAATGAGAGAACGAGAGAGAGAGAGAGAGAGAGAGAGAGAGAGAGAGAGAGAATTGAAAGTGAAAAGACAGAATGAAAATATTAACGAACGTTATTTAAACCACACGTTTGTAAATAGTAAAAATAAAGAAAGTGAGAATGTGAAAGAATGAGCGAGAGAGGTATGAAAATAGAAAAATATGTTGCGAGAATGTGAATGCTTCGCCTATTTCCTTTTTCAGCCGCAATGCCAAGCAATCTACTTTACACTTAAATGTATATTTGTAACGTTAACATTTTTAATACTCTCTAAAAATCACGGCAGGGTAAGCGATGATTCATTCGCATTCCTTTCTTTTTCATTAATAATTACTCTGGAGAAATATGACTCTCCAGAAACAGATGAAAAATATTATTAAGAAAATGTTAATAATTGTGGAATGTTTTATCACATTATAAGATACAGATTAAATTAATGTATCAAATTGTCAATGACATTAATTTAGTATTCCATGAGAGTGTCTCTTCAAATGTTAAGTTTTGACATCGCGTACGAATTCAGTGTAATAATTGAAACTATGTGTGAATTGCTTTTATATAGCTGAAATAAGAATCAATTTTACGTCGACACCAAGTATCAATATAAACTTGTTTTGTAAAACTTTGAAAATGAAACTGTCAGTCAATCAAACAAAAAAAAAAGGAAAAAAAAGGAAAATAGCGATAAATCGTCAAACCATCGTTTAAAAAACGTCTCGTACAACGTTTTATAACACTAACGTTTAACGCAGTCTCTTTCCCCGTTTTTTATCGATGTTCCTCAAAAAGATTTTGACTATCCAACAATTTTGCTATCGAGTCCAATCTCTCCCACCTCCTGAATTTTTAACAAAGGAAAAGAGGAGAAAGTATACAAACCAAACTGTCATTCTCACGATTGCGGTGCGAGCGTGCGTGCTTTTTGTATGGTGTGCTAATCGAAGTAGAATAAAATAAAGAGGAAATCCGAAAAGGATGTAGACCGAATGTACGAATGCGGTCGCACGTTTGCAACGATGGCGGTCATCATTGCAAGTCAGTCGAATATCGTAGTTGTAAAACAGTTAACTAGCAGACAATTAACTAGCAAAGTCTATAATGAGAGGTAGGAATGTGTATATAAAGATTACAAGAAAGTCATATTCTATACAAAGAGTGCGAAATATAGAATGGGATTGTAGAAGAAACACCATATAATTGTATAGCGCTTATACCGATTGTAAGAATTGATTCGTCCAAATTGGATTCTGCAATATCCAACGAGAAACAATTATATTAAAACCAATAGCATATATTGTGAAGACACACATTTTCGTGTTCAAAATCGGACTTACAATTATAATTACAGTTGAAAGAATTTCTTTTTAGTGATATCAGTCATGACCAGCAATCGTTTTTATCGTAAAGAGACTCTAATTGTTTAAAAGTCCATCTCGTGATTGAGTTTTTATAAACCATTTTTCTTCAGTAAATTTGACCCTAATGGTATCTCTTATTGAATTTTCAAACAATTAGCATCGCACTCGATGATGAGAGTAGCCGGAAAGTTACTTAATGTATACATAGTCCAGAGCTATCGCGCGATGGTTTTCTAATAAGATGAGGTTCCAAAGGCAAGACTTCGAAACATCATCTTCAAGCGCAAAATAAAAAACACACACACACACACACACACACACACACACACACACACACACACACACACACACACACACACACACACACACACTACTCAGATAGACAAATAGGAAGATTTATATTATGAGATACATACACGCTCATAAATCACGCGCGTGAATGTTTATTCTTACGTGTCCGAATGAAGCAAAATGATTAAATGCGTGATTATACATTGAATTTTAAAGCGTGATAGTTGATAATGATCATATCATTTTCATTTTATGTTGGACTACGTCAGTCTCCAAGAGATTCTACCCGTGATGCTTGTTAGATGTTGATACCGTTTTATCAAGGATCTAGAGTTAAGAAATCTAGAGAAGAGTTACACCAATGATCAACATTAATCGTTGAGATGATTACATTTTTATTTTACAATAGCATTGTTATTAAAAAGGATCAAGTTCTAAAATTAAATCAAATCTAAAATTAAATAATATTTGTTTAAAATAGTAATATATTTTATATTCTATATTTGTGCTTAGACTATTATTTTTTGTATACTGGCTATTATTACAGATGATTAATTATTGTTAATTATTGTTGTAACTCGTTCGAGATGATTCACAAAACGACATATGATATCTCTATCCGAAAAGATATCATAGAGGAAATTCATTTTGTGACACAAAGTTTAAACATTTGGTATCACAGATAATCATTTATTGATAATAACTAGAATGAATTGTTAATAATTAGATTTTATGGTGAACTTTTATAATATTGATAGTTATTTGTGATAAATAAATGTTTATGACAATCACAGGTGACTATCATCTTAATACGTTTCAATCCGTAATTCTTAAAATTTCACCATGAAATCTGGCAAACTTCCGGTCCCTACATTAATAACACACAGATACAGTAAGCCGTAGACGATGTGTATATAAAAAATAGTGATAATGACATCGAGAATAATGGCGAGAATGGCAGTGTTCGACGACGATGATGATAGTAATAATAATAGCCTATACATACATTTGTGAATAGATATTTAATAATTTATTGTTATTTAGAGTATTTTACTTGGACTACTTCAATGAACGGGGTTTTGGGTACAATAATCTTTTCTTATTGCAGTGATGGCGCTTACAATTTGTTTATTTGAATAATAACAAGAGAAATGGAAAAAAAATAAAACTTTGTTAGCTTTACTCGCTTGATCTTTGAACGATAAGCGATTATGCGCCAGAAGAAATATATATATATTGGCTCTGATATATATACATATATATACATACTTATATGTATATGTGTATATATTTACAGGATAATATATATGTATGTATATATATAAAAATATATATTAAAGAAAAAAACAAATATGTCACATAAAAGTTTTGTCAGATCCAAACTATACTTGTAAATATAATATATATACAATCTAGTGATAACGGGGTTTTACTTTTAACAGCTTTACGTAATTATTACTTTGTCATGATCAGTGAAATAAATAAATATTGATAATACGTTATATTCTATTGTCAATTTCCCAATTCTTCTAATTTTAAGTTTATTCCAATTTTTAGAATCAGTGACTATCGATACAATTCAATATATAGTTTTATAAACATGGTATAAAAACTTTACAATTTTTATTTTTATATAAAATACATAATATTACAAATATAATAAAAATTATATATCAGGGAATTCTTACTACAATTGTGTTAATTATAATAATGTTACATCAAGATGTATTTAACAATCTTAAATAAATTACCATTGTACATAGCTTTAAGAAGTCTATAAAGAATTATAATCTATAGAGCAAGTTTTTATTTTATTAAGCACATAATTGCGCGCACGCGCATACACACAATTGGTAAACCTAAAATCGCCTATATAGGTAAATATACGAGTAATTTAATTTTGCTTTGTTCCTGTGCAATCTATAAAATTTTTTATTTCTTTGATAAATGTATGACAGTTACAGTGTAAACAAGAAAATGAAAATGAAAGAATTGAAATTTAATTAATCATTGCAGCAATCATAAAATTTACGAATCATTTATATCATCTATTCACTTCTGAGAGACTTTTCTGACATATTTTATTATCCTCTCGCTAATAATTTTTAGTGAGAGGATAATAAAATATGTCAGACACACACACGAAACTTTTCAGTTTACGTCATAATCCTATGAAAAAATACTGTGAATTTTCAAGGAGATACTATTATCTCTGTAACCGTAGGAGGTGGTCTAGCGCGAAGAAGGAGGAGGAAGAGACAGAAAATTAGAGTTGAGCGCGATCAGTCTCCCTCGTGTCGCGCATCACTTCGTTTATACCGACAACCGTGGCACGGATAATGTCTAGTTGCTAATGTTTCTGAATTCATTATTTCGTATCAATTTTATTATTTTATTATCAAAAATTTTCACGCTGAAAAATACCTGACGAAGCAACATTTTACGACCTTTTTCATGCCAATTTCGCGAAAAATTCATAGACCTATGGAAATTGTCAATGATGAAATTTAATTTATAAAATATTATGATATTAAAAAGAATTGGTGAGGAAAGAATAAATTACTGCCTACGATTTTATTAAATTGACTCTCGATTGCATGACATCGCGATACAGCTGATAACGAGACCGGAAGAGTACCATTGCTCCAGTATCACAGCAAACAGTCTTCACTGTTCTCCAGCTCTTCTCGGTACAACCAGCGCTATTAGTGAAGTGCGATCTAAATATAGATAAGAACGCGTGTTTTTGACGTAAATCGCGTCGTTCTTTTTATCCTAATTCAACGTACTGCTGGAATCGAAACTTACGCATTAACGC